GCACAGGAACAGCACAGAGAGCACAGGGACAGCACAGGGACAGCACAGGGACATCACAGGAACAGCACAGGAACAGCACAGGGACAGCACAGGGACAGCACAGAGAGCACAGGAACAGCACAGAGAGCACAGGGACAGCACAGGGACAGCACAGGGACATCACAGGAACAGCACAGGGACAGCACAGGGACACCACAGGGACACCACAGGGACACCACAGGGACACCACAGGGACCACAGGGATGCGGGGCTGGAGCCCGCAGTGGGGTGTGGAGGATCCGGGGGGGTTGAGCCTGCCCAGGGAGGGGGCATGGACCAGCTGGGGTGGGGGATGCAGTCCCAGCATCTGCCTGCATTGACCAGGAGAGATCCCCCTTTCATCCCAGGAGGGATCCCAGCTCAGTTCAGCCTGGAGATGGTGCAGAACCAGGGTGAGAAGTGGATCCTGCTGCTGCTGAAATGGAACCTCCCCTTTCATGCCAACTGCTTTGAGACAAAAACCTCCTCCCTTGGACCTGCAGTAGGGAACCCAAACCCACTTAGCTGTCCCAGTTCCAGAGAACCTTTTCATCTGCTCCAATAAATCTTCCCTGGCACCCCCAAACACCCAGTTCCTTTGGCTGCTGCTTCCCAGATCAATGGGCAGTGGAGCTCACCAGGGCCATTGTGCTCAGATAAATCATCCAGAGGTGAGGACAGATGAGGATGGGAGCTTGAGCTCATCCCACCCCTGCCCCTCTGCCCCTGGCCTAAGCTGGGAACCTCTTGCCCCTTCCCAAAAGCTCCATAGCACAGTCACCACTACTGGCCACAGCTCTGCACAGAGCTCAGCTGAAGGACCTCAACCAGGTTCTTGTCCTCCTGTGAGCTCCTCCCACCTGGATGAGGTGGTGTCCCCTCACACTGACCCTCTGCACCCTCTTCTTCCCCTTGCAGCTCCTTGTGCCACCTCTGTGCCCAGCCTTGACCCCCATGCACACACTGGGAGAGCTGCACAGCCTCTTCCCACTCCACCCCACCCCAGCAGGTCTGTGGTGCAGCTCAGACTTGGTTTTCCAGTGACCAACCCAGCAAGGGTCCCTCGGGGATGGAGGTTCCAGTGCTGGAACCCAGCCCTGGACTGCTGGATCCCTTCCCTGCAGCAGGCAGATCCACACCACTGTCAGAGGGGATTAAACTTTGGCTGGGGGCTCCTGGAAGGAAGCAGTGTTTCCAGAACCACCTCTCTCCTCTCATCCTTCTCCCTGTAATGGACTCAGGATGTTAATTAATAGATAATTGCTAATGCCTTGCATCCCTCTAATGCCTCACTGATGAGCTTCAAAGCACTTTGCAATCGCTGGCTACGATTCCGTGCTCTGAAAGGGCAGAAATTGCACTTCAGAGATGTTTCAGGAACTTGCTGATGATCCAAGTCTGGATCAGCATCAAACCCCCAGTGCTGGGCTCCTGCTCCAGGCCCTGCCCTGCCTCCCAAACCACAGCCTTCCACCCCACCCTGCCAGGCACACCGCACAGGAGCCAGGGGCAGGGACACAAGGAGTTAAACAATATCCTGATAGGCTGGTGAGATCATCAGAGCTGGGATGCTCCATTGTTTGTTGGACTCAACAGAGCCCAGTAGACAACACCCAGAGAGATGTGGGGCTTGGGATGAGCCTGCCTTTGGAGAAGGGCCCTCCTGCTGCAGCCATCCCTCCCTGCTCACCACGTAAGTAGGATGGCTTTCCATGGGCTTGGCTCTGGGGCTGCTGGAGAGGGAGAGGGGTCCAGCATGGCAAGGTGGGGTCATCCTCTGGCCGAGCCCCACAAAGGGACGTGCAGGTTCTTTGCTCAGCAGGTGCCTGAGGGTGCTCTGGGGCTGCCCAGATCCCAGTGGTGCTGGGAAGCTGCTCCTGAAGGATGCAGGGGCTGAGCCCAGCCCAGCTTCACTGCACCAGCAAAAGGGCTCTGGCGCTGTGTCAGTTCCCATCCCAGACCTGGTCTGTAGGTGAGGTGAAATCCTCTGACACCCAGCAGGGTGTGGGGGCAGCAGCAGCCAGTCTGCAGGGCCAGCTGCCCACGGAGCCACTGCCAGCCCGCTCCTAGGGCATGGAGGCAGGAACGGGGCTCCAGCACCCATCCCTGGCACCCACACCTCCCTGTCCCCTCCTGGGGCTCAGCCCAGCAGAGTCCAGCCCTCCTGGGGCTGGCACAGGGCAGCACCAAGCTGGAGCTGCTCTGACTGCTGCTTTGGTGCCTGCAGGAGCCGCTGGCAGGGTCGCTCAGGGCACGGTGAGTGCCACCAGCCACCTGCAGCCACCACATCCCAGTGGCAGCAGGGACAGCAGAGGCACAGGAAGGTGAGGGGGCTCAGCACTCAGTCCCTCGGGGGTTTGGGTGCCATTTCCCTCTCTGGGGTTGGGTGCTGTCCTCCAGGTGCAGGTGCCTGAGGGATGGGGGCTGCTCTTCACGGGGCAGCTGAGGCAGGACAGGTCCCCTCTCCCCCAGGAAGCAGCCCCCAGTCTTCATCATTCTGGGTTCCCTGGGGACCTCGGGCATGCTGGCTGGCTGGATTTTCATCTCTCTGTCTGGGAACTGACTGAGAGCCAGTCTTGATAAATTTGGCCAGCACGAACATCCAAGAAAAAGTTTCTGCTAAGTTTGTGCACGTCCATGAGCGCGGCAGAAAATTTTCTCTTCCATGACTGTTAATTCCCAGAGGGATGTGGGGCTGGAGCCCCAAATCCAGGATCCCAAAGGTGTGCTGTGCCTTGGCACTGGGGTCCCCAGCAAGGAGCCCCCCAAGATTTCCCAGTTCTAAAACCAAACTTCACCACACAGAGCACAAGAAGAGCAAAGGGAGGAGAAACAAAATCCCAGGAGAGTGAACCTTACGGAGAGGGGAGGGAGAGACCCCAGCAGCGAGAGCTGCCCAGGGCTTCAGAACGGCAGCAGAGCTGCCAGATGTGAAATCTGAGACGTGCTCTGGAGGCATTTTCAAGACAGCAAAGAGTCATCTGCTGATTGTCTGCTTCCAACAATGGTAAAAAAACTGGGAGGAATCTGATAGCACTCTCCTGCCAGGCTGCTCAGTGCATCCAGCGCATCCAAGCACATCTGTGATGGGTTAGGGATGGAGCAGGGGCAGGGCAGGAGCTGGAGTTGCATTAGCTCTCCCAAGAGCTGCAGATCCTCCCAGTGCTCCCAAACAAGCTCCAGGCACTGGCAGGGAGTGAAATCCTTCATTAGCCAACAGTGGGCAAAAGTGTGACCGAAAACCAGGCTCTGCCAGGAAATGCTGGGAAAATGAGCGGGGTCTGGGAATTGTGGTGAGAGGGATGGTTCTGCCAGGAAATAAAAAGGGGAATAAATCCTCTCTAGTGGAAAGCAAAGCTGAAAGGCAGCTGATGGTTTCTGCAGCAACCTGCCATTAATGCTCTGCACACAGAGGGGAGGGTGCCCGGCAGAGCTGCTGCCCTGGGATGCAGAATCAGGATGGCAGCACACAGGGAAGCAGGGAGTGGGAAGCCTAAAAGATGGAACAGCACAGCCACTTTTAGACTGCTGAGGTGTGCGATTATTCCAGAGAACAAAACAAACTTCAAACTACAAAACCAAATTAAAATTAGATGGTGGCTTGATCATAAAACCTCTCTGTGATGTACATTAGGAGGACAAAGACAGGAAATGATGAAATTTCAGGAAAGGTCTGGATTGCACTGGAAGAGGGGGATCAGAAAGCAGCAGTGCTCCAAGTGAGGCAGCTGGTGGGCAGGTGGCACCTGGAATTACTCAGGATTTGGGCACTTCCCTGCAAAGCTGCAGCTGCTGGGGGTTCTGGGGGATAGGGCTGATCCCAGGGCAGGTTGTGTAGGTGGCAGCAGAGCAAAGATTTTGCTCATACAGAGCCTCAGTGGACAGGAGGAGAGGGAACGGCCTCAGGCTGGGCCAGGGGAGGTTCAGGGTGGACAGCAGCAGGAATTTCCCCATGGAAAGGGAGCTCAGGCCTTGGAAATGCCCAGGGAGGTTTGCAGTGCCCATCCCTGGAGGTGTCCATGGAATTCCTGGAGGTGGCACTCAGGGCTCTGGGCTGGGGACAAGGTGGGGATGGGGCACAGCTGGGGCTGGATGGGCTGAGAGAGCTTTTCCAACCTAAAGGATTCTGGGATTCTCTGTCAGAAATGTGTCCCTGTGTTTCCTTTTTCAACAGAGAGCACTGAGAACTCCAGACAGGAGGGCTGCAAATCCTGCCCACTGCTCCTGGCTTTTGTTTTGTCCTGCTTGTTTGCTCCTGCTTGTTTGTCCAAGCTTGGCAGACCTGAAACGTCCCAAAAGGTGTCAACACCACCAGCTCTGCAGCAGTGGCTGTGCTGGGGGGACTAAATTATAAAATTTATACACCTGTCTCTTCTCAGAGTAAGCACCAAGCTTGGCAGGGACACGGGTGAAGGAGTGAGGGAGGTGCTGGCTGGCACCCATCCATCAGCATCCCTCGGTGGGCACTGAGCCCAGCATGGCCCAGCTCTGGGCAGGTTTCCTCCAGCCCCTGGAGCTGTGCCAGCCTTGCAGCCTCAGTGTGGCTGCCCTGATGTGGAACTTGCTCCCACATGGATCAGCAGCTCCAGGGAAAGAGCTGATGGGCTCCAGGGTCACCTCCTGCACACCTGCTGAGCCACAGGCCTGCCCTGGGCTCACCTGTGAGGTGCCACCTCCTGGAGAGCCATCCCTGCTGAGCAGAGCAAACACAGACATGGGGGGCTGCAGGTCACCTGCTCTGGGCTAAAGCTTTGTGTGGTGCTTGGGAAGAGCTGTGCTGCCCAACTTTCCTGCAGCATCCCAGTGCCTGCTCCACCATTTTATGGGTGTTCCACCATTTTATGGGTGCGATGCTCTTCTTTCCCTGCAAGGACCCCCAAAACCTCCTCCACCTCCATTTGGGCTGCACTCACTGATGACCAAAGGGAAGCACTCTCCATCCTCCATCACCTGCTCTGCTTTCTCTTGTGTCCATCCCAGGTCTCTTCCTCCCGTCCCACCACCATGGAAATCCCCCCCAAGAGTCCTGATGGAAGTGAGAAGTCCCCCCAGTCCAAGGAGCTGATCACCAGTGACACGGGCAGCACCCTGTGCATGAGCTCCCGCAGCGAGTCCGTGTGGACCAGCGCACCCAGGAGCAAGTGGGACATTTACCACAAACCCGTCATCGTGGTGTCCGTGGGAGCTGCCATCTTCCTCTTCGGGATGGTCATCACCAGCCTGTCCTGCTTCCTGACCGAGAACAAAAACGTTTACAAAATGACCGGCCCGGCCTTCCTGTCCCTGGGACTGATGCTCCTGGTCTGTGGCCTAGTCTGGATCCCCATCATCCGCAAGAAGCAGAAGCAGAGGCAGAAGTCACAGTTCCTACAGAGCCTCAAGTCCTTCTTCTTCAACCGCTGAGGGCAGCCAGGACCTTCCTGCAGAGGTTCCCCTCTCCTCCACCAACCTGTGTTGATCAAGCCATGAAAACAAACACTTTCTTGTACTCCCTAGAGGATTTCACCCCAGTCAGTGTCTTCCCTACGTGGTTTCCAGTGTGAAAATGAACTTTGTACTTCATCCAAGCCATCCCAGGAAAAAAAGGAGCAGGAATTTTCAGCTGAGCCCAGAAAGGCAGGTCCAAGGTCTCTGCATGGCCCCCCTGTCCAAAGAGTGACCCAACAGCACAAACTGGGTAAAGCAAAGCCCCAAAGGAACCGGGACTGAAACAAAACCCTGAAGGAACCCAGAACCCCCAGGAAGTTCTGCAGGATCCATCAGCAGAGAGGAGCCATCCGACTGGAGCCACAATTCCTTCCAGCCCCCTAATTTGTCAGACAGGCTGGAGGATCTGTGCAGCATCAGGAGACACAGCAGAAGCAGAGGGTCTCAGATCCTGCTGAGGGTCCCAGATCCTACAGAAGGGTCCCAGATCCTGCTGAGGGTCCCAGATCCTGCTGAGGGTCCCAGATCCTCCAGAAGGGTCCCAGATCCTGCTGAGGGTCCCAGATCCTACAGAAGGGTCCCAGATCCTGCTGAGGGTCCCAGATCCTACAGAAGGGTCCCAGATCCTGCTGAGGGTCCCAGACCCTGCTGCTCCAGGCACCTGGCAGGGCAGGGACAAGGGAAGTGTGTCTGGGAATGGTCTGAGCGGTGGGAGATGTGCTCAGGGCTGAGAGCTGATTCCCTCCCAGGAAAATCAACCTCCTCCTGACCATCTCTGCTTGAACTCCCTCATTTCTGAAAGCGGTGCCACATCAACATCTCTGCCTGAAAATGTGGTCCAAGGTGCCTGAGACCTGAAGCATTTGTGTTTCTGCCAGGGAGCTCGGGCTCACCTTGACACTGATGCCAGCTTCCCCCAGGCTGTCATCAGGGCTGTGTGCCTGGAGATCCCCTGCACCCGCGTGGGCAGAGCAGGAGGTGGCACATCCCATCCTGGCAGCTGGCACAGCTGGATCAGGAGTATTTGAGCACACAAGTCCCTCTGCCCCAGGCTCAGCCTGGCCCTGAACTTTGTTTCCTGACTGGGACAGCCAGTGCCAGGTTGGTGACAGGGCTGTACAAGACCTGGCACAGGGCCCAGCAAAGCTGTTTGTTCCTCAGCCATCCTCACGCCACGCCACGCTCTACTGCTGTGTGCAATCCTGCTCTGGCACCGGCACCAGCCTCGGCTCCTCCCTGCCACGGGCAGGGGATGCTCACCCAAAACTCCTGCTTGGGGCAGCTGCAGCCAGGATGGACAACAGGATTCAGGATGGGAAGCCAGGGAGGATCGTGAAGAGCAGCCCCAGGCCCCACCTGGCTGCAGATCTGGGCACAGGTGGGAGACCTAGAGCTGCCCTGGATGCAGGAGGCACCTGGAAATGGGTCCTGGTGCAAAGAGCCATGCTCAGCCAGGGCTGCCTGGCCAAAGGGATGCTTCAGGAGGGCTGGAACTGCCAAGAGGAGAGAGGGAGCTCCCTCTGCCTCCTCCTGGCCAAGGAGAAGGAGACAGTCAGTGAAATGTTAATGTGATAAAAAGTCACTGAGACCAAGAATTGAATTGGATTCCAGACTGGTCATTTATAACAAGAACCTGAGGTTTCATTAAAGGAAAATGTTCCCGAGGAACTTGCATGTGGTGTCACATCTCTGCCGTGTAGGGAGGGTGTAGTGGCAGAGTTTGGGGGTGGAGTGGCACCCACTGGGCAGGGGGAGGACAAGGAATGGGGCTGGGGTTGGTTTGGGTGCTGGGTGAGGGGCTGAGCTCTGTCCAGGACTCAGCAGCAGCTCAGGAATGTGCCTGGCAAGAGGATGGAGCCTACCAGGGAAAAGGGAACAGCCCAAGGAGCAGCAACACCTGGTGAGGAGGGGATTTATCAGATGGAGGGAGCTCAGTATTTGCTGCCCAGATCTGTGGTGGGAGGCAAAGGGACAGGAATGTTAAGGGAAAGTCAGATTAACAGCTGGGGGATATCTGCAGGTGGAAGTCCAGGAAGAAAGTGGGAACTCTCCCTCACTAGCACAGGGTATAAATGCTTGATCACTGCCAGGGAGGGAGGGAACTTTGCATTGGAGTTCCCAACACTGGGAGTTTCATCCTTTTCTTGAAGTGAGCTGGAGCTTTTTATGGAAAGAGAAATGCAGGATAACCTGAAGGCTCCTCACAAGGGTTCCTTTAGGAGCTGACATAAAATTCCTGCCCTGCTGTGGCCCAGCAAAACCCCACAGGGCTGCTTGGAAATGAATTTCTGCCTCTGTGTTATGGTACCAGTGAACCTCAACCTCCTTGGGATGTGGGAGGCTGAAGAGCCAGGGAGTGTCTGTGGATTTAGATGATTTATGGAAACAGATTTAAAAAAAAAAAAAAAAAAAAAAAAAAAAGAGGCAGTAGAAGCAAGAGAGAAGAATGTGCCATTTAAATTCCACAACATAACTGGTGGATGCTGGAGAAGTCCAGGAGGAACAGATTCCAGGAGGGCTGGAGAGCTCACCTGCTGGGTCCTCCTGCTGGGGCAGGACTGGGCTGGATGGACCTTTGATCAGCCCATGGGGAAGCTCACACCTTTGGGTTGTTCCCATGCACATCCAAATCCCTGTTAGGCTGCTCCCTGCTATTCCTTTTGCTCCCACTGAAGCCCATTTGAATCCTGCTGTGATGCTTTGGATCAGACCAAAGAGAACCATGTTTAAAGATCAGGTTTTCCAGCAAACATAATTATGTCTCACTAAAGCAAGCTCAGATGTGATCTGCCAGCTTCCCCTGTTCTATAAAAAGAACAGGAAATCCATTACAAAAGTCATTATCTCTGCAGAGCAGCTCAAAGAGGAAATATTGCCCCTGCATCTCAAAGGTCAGGCAGCAAACCCGCCCGGCAGGCTTGGCGTGGAGAACGCCCTGCCCCAGGTGTCTGAGCTGCCTCATTCCTGGGCTTCCACAGCACCAAACCTGCCCAAAGATGTGCACAGCCCTGGGGCAGAGCCCTCCTCAGGAGGTTACATCCCAGCTGAATTCCAGGACCTAAAGGGGTTCAGAGAGGGCTGGAGGGGGACTTCAGGCAAGCCTGGAGGGACAGGACACAGGGAATGGATTCCTACTGCCAGAGGGCAGGAATAGATGGGATATTGGGAAGGAATTGTTCCCTGGGAGGGTGGGCAGGCCCTGGCACAGGGTGCCCAGAGCAGCTGGGGCTGCCCCTGGATCCCTGGCAGTGCCCAAGTCCAGGCTGGACATTGGGGCTGGAGCAGCCTGGGACAGGGGAAGGTGTCCCTGCCATGGCTGGGGGTTGGAATTGATGATCTTTAAAGTCCCTTCCAACCCAGAGCATTCCATGATTCCATGATCTCACTGGGCTCACCCTTGGTGCAGTCAGGTTTCTGCTGGGATAAATTATTTAAATGTGGAAGGACCACTGGTGACTCCTCCACATCCCCCCGAGACCTTCCAGCGCTCCCTCCTGGAAACAGCCTCAGGCTTGTGAGGCACGAGGGCTGGAGGCCCAGATTCCCACTGGGATGCTGGAAGGCTGTTCCATGCCTGAGCCTGGGTAACAGCCAGGCTGCCAGGACACCCTGAATGCTGCTGGGACTTCCTCCCACCTGGGGAGCAGATGTGATTGCACCAGCATGAGTGGGATCCATCCCTCCCCAAATCCAGCAGCCTTCCTTGTCCTCAGTGTGCAGAAATGAGAGCAAAAACTCCAGGGGGCTTGTGGTGCCCACAGTGAGTTTGAAACCCTAAAAAAACCCATTTCCTATTTCCACTCTGGATGTTGGGCACATGGAAACTGGGGAAGGAACAGTTTTTCCCTGCTGCCCAGGGAGCAGGGGCTTTGCTCAGGGCTGTCTGTGTGTGTCTGGGAGCAGCAGGAGGGATGAGGGTGGGATAAGCTTGTGAGGCAGGACCATGGCTGTGCTGGGCAGCCTCCTGTGCCCTTGTGACATGCACAGTGTGGGTGGCTGCAGGAGCAGCGTGACTTGTAACACCCTGGGCAGCAGAGCTGAGGACACAGGGGATGTCCTCTGTCCCCTGCAGCCACCCCTCACTTGTGTGCCCAGGTGGCAGACGGGCTCTGAGTTCCATGGTTTGGCAGGAGGACACTCTTGGTGTGACCTTTGGCATGTCCTGGAGCCAGACCCACCCCCAGCAGGTCCCTGCAGTTGGCACTGCTCCATGCCCAACACTGCCCTTGCACCCTGCAGGCCTGTCCTGAGCTTTGGGACATCCTCTGTATGGCCAAGGACGGGACAGGCAGCTGCCACCCCACTGCTTTGGGATGGCTTTCCCAGAGCCAAGGGCTCCCTGGATTCTCCAACTCCCACAAGCTTCCCCAGTTTGCCAAGGATGCGCAGAGTAGGGAGCAAGGACAGCAGAGGTGTTTGCAGTGTCCCACCGTGGCCTGGGAGCAGAGCAGCACACAGCTGTGCCCCAAAAAGTCACCCTGGCTTCTCAGAGACCAGCCAGGAGCTCTGGGGAATTTTGGCTTATTTGGGGATTCCTCAGTGGCTTCCTGGTGTCCCATTTTTGGGATGGGCAGTGTGGGTCTGGTGGGTGGCTCTCCAGCAAGAGCTGCTCTTTGGAGGTGTTGCAAGGGTGATGTCATTTTGGCATTCTGGAGAAAGTTCTGTGCCTCGGTTTACCTATAAAGAGGGGCAATCGTAGGATGTTTGCAGGTTGTTTGTGGGATGTCAGAGCCAAGATCCTGCACACTTCCCTGGGACGCTGTCACGGTGGATGCTGCCCAAAAGTGACAAATCTGGATCTCAAACCCCAGGGCCGTGGGCTGGCTCGGGGACAGATTTGCACCTTTGGGGCAGGCTGGATGTGCAGCAGCTACAGCTGGATGAGCACGGGGGGCTGACACGGGATTCCCCTGGGCTGTGCTGAGGGCAGCGCTCAGGGGCAGGGCCACGAAACGGTTAAAGCCGTATCGTGTGCTCCCTGCCGATTGTTCGGCAAGGTGTGTTGTGACATTTGTACTTCCTCTTGGCAGCGGGAGCAGGGGCAGGGAGCAGGGCAGGGATGCTGCTCCCCCCGCCGCCCTGAGGGGCTCGGGGCTGCAGCATGGGCGTGCGGGCGCTGCTAGGCCGCTGTGCCGCCATCGCCCTCCTGGCCCTGCTCTGCGACGCCCTGGGGCTCCTCATCCTCCTCCTGGGCATCCTGGCTCCCCTCAGCTCCTGGGACTTCTTCGTGTACGCGGGGGCCCTGCTGCTGGCCTTCAGCCTCCTCTTCTGGGCCTTATGGTACACCTTCAACATCGAGGTGCCCCTCGGGGAGCTCCAGTGCAGCTGACCCCAGAGCCGCAGCAGGAGCTCTGCCTCGCTTTCCTGGGAGGAGCAGCTGGGAAGGTCCAAAGCATCGCTCAGCTGGTGGAGAGCACCCAAAAGAGACAGAAGGGAAGGGCCTGAAGGTCCTCACAGCACCGAGCAGCCAGATGGACCCTCGGGGGAAAGGTACCCGTGGCTCAGCAGGCACAGGGATGTCTGGCTGGTGTGGGGGAATGCACAGGTCCTGGCAGGGCAGCTGGAGCTTCCTGCTGGTGCCAGGCACTCTCAGGAGTGGTATTAGATTCTAAAATGCTCTGGAATGGAGTAAGGGTGGGCAGGAAGGTGGTTTTGATGAGATGAGTGAATCCTGGGAGGGGGTTGTGGTGCAGTTTGGAGGTGGCTGTTGTCTGGGGTTTAATTCCATCAGATGAGAGAGCTGCTGCTCCCTCATGACAGCTTTGTGTGTCAGGGGGATGAGGAGCATGAGCCAGCCCTGGCCAGACACCCTGGGCAAACAGGGAAAGTCAATAAGGACAACCCAGGCTGGGCTTCAGCACCAGAACCTCTGGGTGAGGTGTGAGGGAGCAAACCCAGCTGCTGCTGTGCGCTGCTGGGAAGGTTTTCCCAACAGGGAATGTTTTCCCAGCAAAGCAATCGGGGAAATCCCAAAGCAGTGAAAATCCAAGTGAAAGTTGTGTCCCCAAGGCTCTGATGTGCTGTAAGAATCCTCTGGCAAATGCTGAGCACGCAGACACTGGGTGCAAAGTACCACATTTGAATGTTGGCTCTGAGATTGGGTTTTGTTAATCTCAGGCTTCTCTAGACCACGCCTGGCTGGTTTGGCAGCTGCCCAAGGGGCACAAAGATCAGGTCCTGCCCAGTCTCTGCAGCCTTCTCCTACAGCATGGGGACCACTGAGCATCAGCACGGCCTGGAGGGGCTGGTGCTGACCCAGGAGGCTCAGAGGGCTCTGTTTTGGCCCGATGTGTGAACAGCAGCACCAGAGCTTAGGGGAGCTGGAGGCGATGCCTGCAGGAGGCTGCCCTGGAACAGAGGCTGGACAGAGCTAGGAATAAAGTAGGGATTTATTGAAAGGCTTTAAAGGACACACCTTGGGCAGCACAAGAGCCTGGCCAGGGCCTCACCTAAGATGGACCAAAAATGGTCCCAAAATGCACAACTGGTCACGAGGTCTCACATTTTCATCAGTTTTGGTCCATCTGCATATCAGGGTTAATTGTCCAATCACTGCTCCAGGTTATGGAGTCCCATCCTTGTTTTCTCTCTTCATTCCACCATTGTTTCTGCTTTTGGGCCTGAAACTTGTAAGGGCTGTCCTTGGTATGGAGCTGGAAAAGGAATTGTTCTGTCTGTCTGCTCTGTGAAGAGAGCTCACTGACACTGAACATGAAGCTCAGAGCTTCACACCTGGGCAGGGCAGAATATAAAAATATGAAAGCTCAAACTTAGGACATCAGAGGTGTCTGAGTGTTGGAGAGCTGCAGGGATGGTGTCGTCCCTCCTGCCAGCATCCCGGGGATGCTCCTCTGGGCTGGCCAGGACAGGGCAACTGATGAGCCCGAGGGAAATAGGGAACAGCCCCACAGTGCTTGGAGCTGCCGTGGCACAGGCAGGGGAGAGCAGCAGGATGCCCCAGCCAGAGCCTGCCGTGCCCCCACACCAAGAGCCAGCCAAGGAGGGACTCTCTCTTGGAACAGAGAATGAGGCAAAGAGGAGGCAGAGATGGGTGAGATGTCCCCAGGGCCATGAGGGTGGGTGTCAGAGCACAGCTCACTGCCAGCACCTCAGCCAGGCCAGGGCCCCAGGCAGGGACAGTGCCAGTGACATGTCCCCACCTGCTAGTGACAACAGGGACATTGTCTTGCACAGTCCTCTATAAGGCCTCTCACAACCAGTGAGATTCCTTCTCATTTACTTCTTTTTTTCCCTTGATTTCCTCTCTTGTTGGCAGTGACCACAAGAGCCAGGGCTGAGGTTTTCCTGGTTGCCGTGTGAGTGGAGGCTGCCGTGTGGGTCACGGTGTTTCACAGCCCTGCCCTCACCAGGATGTCCAGCCCAGGAGTTCAGCTTGGGCCTCACCAGGTCTCAGGGTGTTTTTCTATCCCTGTGCCCTTGGGACTTGGTCCTCCAGGAATTTCCTTGATGTGCCTCAGGATAAGAACCCGGGACAAGCATCAGTCGGATCCCGCAGCTGTAGAGAAGGAAGGGCAGCAGCAACCCACACCCTCCTTTATTTGCTCGGGGATTTTTTAATTGCCAGTGCTGAGCCTGTCAATCCAGCCTGTAAAACTTGGCCAGGGCTTTGTCAAGGTCTGTCCCCTGCTGGGTGTGGAGCTGGGGGACAGCATCCAAGGAGCAGGGGGTGTTGCCCAGGGACCCCAGCGGGACCTGGGGCGAGGTTCCTGAGGGTCCCTCCTGCCCTCGGCTGCTGGGGCAGACACTCCCGAGTGGAGCTTTTTGGGGGCTGCCAGCACCTGGGGCTGGATGGTCCTGTGCACTTCACCAGCACGGCCAGAGGATGGTTTGGGGATGCTGAGGGGTGGAGGGTGATCCCCAAATGGAAGAGCACTGTCAGCCCTGTGCCTGGAGCTCCTGGGATGCGCTCAGGAGTCTGTACCCGGTCCCCTGAACACCCTGGGAAAGCATCCTGCACCACCCTGCTCACACGTTTTCCCCTCTCTGAGCCACGTGTGGTCTGGGACAGTCACCCAGCTCACCAGGGCCACTCCCCAGCAGGATGAGTGTGGGCACACGTGCACGAATCACACCCAAACACGTCTCTGTATTTGCGTGCAAGGTGCCTTCAGCATCCTCCTCCTCGTGCAGGCTGGCTGGGAGTGACACTGGGACAGGCAGAACGTGGTGGCTCCAACGTCCCTCGCGCACGGGCAGGAGCAAGCAGCCAGGCCCAGAAAGAGAGGGGAAACCTCCCAGCTGTGTGTACTCATGGCAGGGATTTCTCCTGCCCCCCTGTCCCACCCAGCACCCTGTGCACCCCAGCACCTCCAGAGCACCAGCTCTGATGGTCACCAGTGTCCTTTCCAATCCCAGGGACATGGCTTCTTCCCTCTTCTGCTGTCCCCAGATCCCTCAGGCTGGGATCACCACTGACAGTCCCAGCGGCAGGACAGGAGTGGGGGAAGCACCTCTGGGTCCCCATCCCTCGGTGCTGGGCAGCACTGGGAGCGCTGGCCCAGGCCCAGTGAAATATTGACTCAAGGGCTTATCTTTCCCTCTGGGTTTTTGTGGTTTTGTGCTTGGTCTGTTTGCTCCAGGCTGGGGGTTGTTCCAGATTCTTGGGCTTGGCATAGCCCCGTGGCCATGGCACAGAGCCCACGTGGGCACTGGGAACCAGCAGCTCCCTCTGCTCCCCATCCAGTCTGTGCTCCCCCACTGACATCAGTGCCCCAAAGCCCAGCAGCCTCCCGTGCTCCCTGCGCTGATGCTGCAACCCCAAAATGCTGTGGGGTGACTCCAGGAGTCCCCTCTTGTGACCTGGACCTGCTCTCAGCAGTCTGGGCTCCTTCCCACTCTTTCCCTGCCTTGGATGCCTCACTGGCATCAAGGGAATATCAGCCCCAGAGGTGCCAGGTGTTCGCTCATGAGTCTGGATCTTCCAGCAAGGGAAAAATCCTCCTTTGGTGCCCAAATGTGACCAGCCTCACTTGTATCTGGATCTGGGCTGATCCTGAATATCCCTGGGCATCCTGGGCATCCTTTTTGCACCCAGGAGCCTACTGGTGCTTCTGGCTGGTGGGAAATGGTCCCCTGAGCCCCAGTGTTATGATTCTACGTGTCTTTATTGAAGAGAAGTTCACTTCCTGAGCTATTTTCAGGGTTTTTGAAGGCACTCACATCTCCTTTCACTCTCTGTTTCTAGGGGAGGAGGAAAGGACAGGAGTGAGCAGATGAAGAGGAGCAGCTCCACACAAGCAGCCCTTGCACAGCCAGCACCGAGAGCACAGCAGGAGCTGTGTCACTCTGCTGTGCTAGGGACACTGGCACCGCCACTCAGGACAGCCCTGAAGGATGGACACCCCTTCTGCATCCTCTCCCATCCGTGTGCACCTGCTCCCTGCCTGCTGCTGGCTCAGAGGGCCCAGCACGAGCAGCCTGGCAGCAGCAGAGCCTCTTCCCTCTGTCCTGACCAGGAGACAGGGACTGCCTGACAGACAGACAACAAAATCAGACAGGACAGAGGATTCTCTGAACAAAATGCAGCTGCTGGAGGTCTCAGCTGTGCTCTGCCCAAGGTCCCAGGAATTCTCTCAGGGCATTTCAGGAAATACTCAAAGACCTCAGTCCAAAGAGCTCCTGGAGCAGAGCAGAGATGCAAAGGCCAGGAGAGGATTCAGTGCTTCAGCTGCCAGAGCAGGAGTGGCTCAATGTGGGGACAGACCCTGGTTCACTCCAAATCCTAACCTCAGGGGACAGGAGAAGAGATGAGAGGAGGCCTCCTGCTCTGCCACATCTCCATTCTCCTGCGCTCCTGAGGCAGAGCTCAGCTGACCACGAGTATTCTTGTGTAGGATGGAAGCATTTGTAACTCTATCAAATACATAACACCTATCAAATATATAACAGCTGAGAGGCTGTTCAGCACTTTCCTTTACAGACACCTCTCTCAGCTGTTTCAAACTTCACCAGGATTTATTTCACTATGATTTCCTGTCCTGGAGGATCTGCCCCTGAGAAGGAATTTGACTTTTCTCTGCAAAAGAAAAACTCAGGGACTCGGACACTGTCTGGACTAGGCAGCCTGGGCTAGGAGGACTTTACAGGTGACATTTGGTGTCCTTGCTGTCCCTGAGTTCAGCACTTCGCCCCACAGCAGGGGCAGTGGGGTTTGGGGGCAGCTGGGCAGTGTGGGAACTGCTGTTTGGGGGGAACCAGCAGCTCTCTCTGTCCCCAGAAATGGGGCATGAGGCTGGTGACAGGACTGGCACCAGTCCCTGCCACAGGAGGGAACTGGAGCTCCCTGCAGCTCTCAAACCATTCTGTCTTCCAGGCAGGGGAGGAAAGCTCCCTGCTCACCTCCACAGCCGTGCTGGGCAGGAGCCACGGCCTCAAAGAACTCAAATGACTTCAGTTTGAAACCGAGGCACATTTGTGCCCCAGTCCTGTCCTGGACAGGACAGAAACCTCCTCCCAATTCCCCAGAATAGCCAGCAGGGAGCTGTCACCCTAAGGGATGTCTCCCTAAGGAATGTCCCCCCTAAGGGATGTCCCCACTAAGGGATGTCCCCACTAAGGGATGTCCCCACTAAGGGATGTCCCCACTAAGGGATGTTCCCCTAAGGGATGTCCTCATAAAGGGATGTCCCCCCTAAGGGATGTCCCCCCTAAGGGATGTCCCCCTACGCGGGATGCCACAAGCACTTTGAGCAGGCACAAGGGCGTGCAGAGCAGGGCCTGTGCCAGGGGCTTTGTCCTGCTCTGGGTTTGCTGCCACTTTTCTGGGATATTTCATTAAAGCTGCTGCCTTCCTCCCCAGATCTGTTTTCCCCCTGGCAGGGGTGGTGAGGTGAAGAGGAGCCTCTGGTTGCGGTAGCTCTGTGGAGGAGCAGCTCTTGCACGAGGTGGGATGAGAGCTGGAAATTGGGGTAGCACTTGTGGGATAAATCAGATCAGTGGCAAACATCAGCATCATTAACTCCTCCCTGGTAACATGGAGAGACCCCTCCAGTGCAAGGCAAAAACAATCTTTTTTTAAAAAGAATCTTTAAAATTGCAGGCACTGCAATTTTGCAATCAATGAGGCAGTGGGACACTGACTGATTCTTTCCCCTGCAAATATAAAATCACATCAAGAGGATTCTCTGAGGTTTTCGCAGGTTCCTAAGGCTCTGGAAGCTGGTGTCAGGAGATCGGGAGCTTATCACCGAGATAAGCAGCAGTGCCCTCCCCAGGGCAGCCTGCCAGCCACGGCCACATCCACACAGCAGGAAGGACAAAGCTCGAAGGCAGCAATTTTATTAAATCAAGTGTCTGGGCAAAGGCAGGGCTGCCCCTGCTGCCTCCAGGGCCACCTTTGGGAAGCCAGCCTTGCCCAGGGGGTTGGAGAGGGACCCCAGACTCCTCCTGGCCGCTGGGGCTCCCCAGCCCCTTGCAGGCTGCTGGGGTGGGGGACAAGCAGGATTTGCACATCCCGGAGGAACTGGTTCTCCCAGCCATCCCCGGCTCTCCCCGCACAGCTGCACCCACCCTGGAGCCAGGGATGAGGCTCCCAACGGGGATTTAACCCTGGCCAGCCCTGCAGGTGCCCGGAGATGCTCTGGGATGGGATTCAGTGGGAGCAGCTCCCTGTCCTGTCCGTGTCGGGTGCCTCTGTGGCTCAGCTGCTGATGGCAGGCTGAGCAGTCCAGGCAATGAACACCTTGGACAAACGCTTCCATCAGGTCTGGCATCTCACTCCATCAGTTGACCACAAGGAGATGCTCCCACAGGGATCCCTGAAGATCCCAGATCCCACAGCAGCCACCTGCAACCCTGGATTGGGCCAGGGGCTGCCAGCTCCAACCCCTGAGGCATCCAAGGAGGGTTTCCTAGGAGTCTCCACACTTTAGAGCTGAGTGACCCCAGGCTTTCCATCCCTCAGGAAAGCTTCTCAGCCTCGCTGAAGGCCTGAATCCCTCCCTCAGGCACCCCCTGGGGGATTCCAGACACTGCTCAACTTCAGCCTGGCAGGAAGGACTGCTCAGGGCTCCTGCCCCAGGATCTGGGCATGCACAGGGTATTGGTGCCCTGCAGTACTCACAGCCCTTCCACAGGGGAGATTTGCCATCAGTCAACAGATAAATCACCCTGGAGGCAAAGAAAATGGCTTTCCCAGCTCCATTTCCTGGGGCAAAATGGGACATCAGTTAGGGCCAAAGCTGTCCAAAAGAAGCTCTTCCCAGAAAATGCATTTGCTGCATTTGCCAGCCATTACTGGAAGAAGAGTGCAGATACCTCTGGTGACATTCCAGGGTTTTTTTCATGGTAGATCACTGAATTTTTGACAAAAAGGACCTGTAAGGATGACACAGGGAAGTGTAAAGCCTGCCCAGGCAGCTGTGTGGGATGAGTCCCAGGGTGCTGATGTGACCAGGGAATGCTGAGAAGGACAGGGCTGGCCTGTCCCCTTTGTCCCCAGCCAGCAGCTCCAGGGACAGAAATCAGCCCCTCACCAAGGGACAGCTCCAGCCCCACTCCTGTCCCCGTGATCCCTCATTTGGGGCTCAGGGATCTCACCCCAGTGAGCCACCCCTGCCATGGGCACTGATGTCACCCTGGGGACAGTGGCTGAGCCCCTCAGGTACTGCCAAACCTGCAGGAACAGCAAATCCCCCTGTCCTGCAATGCCCCAGGAGGAGAGCACACCTCAGGCCATGGGCTGGGCAGTGGAGAAGGGTGGACAGCAGAGAAGGGTGGGCAGTGGAGAGGGGTGGATAGTGGAGGAGGCTGGGCAGTGGAGAGATAGTGGAGAAGGCTGGGCAGTGGAGAGATAGTGGAGGAGGCTGGGCAGTGGAGAGATAGTGGAGAAGGCTGGGCAGTGGAGAAGGTGGGCAGTGGAGAAGGTGGGCAGTGGAGAAGGTGGGCAGTGGAGAAGGGAATCTGCCTCATGCTGGACATGGAGCCAGCAGGAT